AATTGTAATATTTATTAAAATCATAATTATATTATATTAGAGCTGAGAAATGGTCAATAAAATGAATATATTTTTCCCTTTTCTAACCATTTGTTTAAATATGTATTGATTTTCAATTTATTCAAACCATACTAAATGATTATCAGTGATAATGAATGCGTTCACTACCGGTCAACTCGTTTAAATGCCCCAGGCACAATCATGTGATATGTGACAGTTGCACTTTCATCACGTTTTATTAGCTTCAGTCCTTTTAAACCCTCATTGTTTATTGGCTGCCATAGTATTGCATATTTAAAGTGCAATCCATTTGTTTATTTATTTTCTATAAGAGTTTACAAAAGTTTTCAAAATTTTAATTCAATTCAATTGAAATGTCGTTCAATCTCGAGGAGGAAGAGCTGGACTTCGAGCCGTACGTCAGTCCAGACGTGACTCGTGTCAGTCAGACATCGAAATCGGGTTCCGGGAGTCAGAGCTCGAGTCAAAGAACTGGGAGTCAGTGCTCGAGTCGAGTGGGTTTTGGTGGTTGCGGTGCCGTCGATGGCTCGCAATGGGATCGACTCTTCATCGGTGGTGACCAGTCATCGGGCACTTCCGCCGAAGAGGTGGCCACAAGACCGCGTGGAAGCGCTCGAAGAACTCATGTCCAGCCAAAGAAATATACGGTTTGTGTTGCACTTCATATCCCACTTAACAAACCATTTATCGATAAATTGTATCATTTGTTTAGCCCAAGAATCCAATCGCCGCCACCACTGGAAACGGTTCAAAAAAGGGTCCAAAGGGTCGCTCAAAGGCAAAGAAGTCAGGAGTGAGACCACAATTGGCCAAAAGATCAAACCCTCCGCGATATCATCTGCCGGCGAAGTCAATACTCGAAGCGCCCGAAAAGCGTCGATACAGACCCGGAGAGGCGGCTCTTCGAGACATTCGGTACTACCAGAAGAATACGGAACTGTTGATCAGAAGAGCGCCGTTTCAGCGATTGGTGCGCGAGATATCTCAAGAGATGAAAGATGGCTATCGGTTCCAGACGAGTGCAGTGATGGCACTGCAAGAGGCGGCCGAAGCCTATCTCGTGGGTCTGTTTGAAGACACGAATCTGTGCGCCATTCACGCCAATAGAGTCACTATTATGTCCAAAGATATGCAATTGGCTCGTCGTATACGAGGAGAGGATAACATCCGTTGACCACTTATTTTATGCCATATATGGGTCAGTAATGTCGTGCCATTGCAACCAATTGTGCCATTACTGACACGACGTCTATAATTGATTACTTAATCAATTTAAAGGCGACAGTATTTCTCATCTCATGATCTCACGATACAAATGCTACTCATTATTATATCGTTAATTTAATTAAGATATATTTAATTGATATTATTTTTGTTTAATCATATGTTGCTATTTATGGATTATTAATGTTTTTGTGAGAATTTAACTTTTATTAATAACATATTTATAATCGGAGGACTAAATTAAATATATTAATGGATAAATATTGTTGTTTATCTCACTTTTTATGTATTGATAAGAAGTTATATGTTATATGAATAAATAATATGTAAATTGCAATGCATTTGCCACCAAATTGTGTGATTTATTTGTTGAAATAATATTTATTTAATTGAGAGACAAATTTAGAGAAATATAATTATTTTGATGCCATAAGCGATAGAAGAGAAGACAACAGTCGACCGGATATTTAGAAAATTGGGATAAAACTGATAATTAGCTCATCTCTAAAATTGTAGATAATATTTAGTCCCTGAATGAGTTTAAATACGCTTAGATCACAAATGTGTCTAAATGTCTAATTGTGGCCCCAGAATGTCATTTAAAAGCGACGATAATGTAATGTAATCGGGATAACAATACAATTGACCCCAAACTAGAGGCCCTCTTTCTCTCAACGATATGCACTTTAAGTTGTAATCATTAAAAATGCAAACGATTGTAAAATACTATACAGTAGTTTGTGGTATGTTTTGCAAACAACATAAACCACTTTATCTTCTTTATCGGTTATTAAATTTCTCAACGATATGCACTTTAAGTTGTAATCATTAAAAATGCAAACGATTGTAAAATACTATACAGTAGTTTGTGGTATGTTTTGCAAACAACATAAACCACTTTATCTTCTTTATCGGTTATTAAATTTACAGATATTTTAATGGTATTACAAATGCGATGATAAATACGGCGCCAATCGATCGATACCAGGGCTCGCATTTGGTATTGGATTTCAATCGACAAACACTTCTTTTGTGTCAATGGTTTGCGTTAATTATTTTTTGTCATCAAAAAAATAAATAGTTTATAAAAACATCACTTTTTTCATTCACTTGTCTTATCTTTCGTCTACAGAACGAAGTGAATGAATCGCAGAATCATTTTCTTATATTTTTTACTTTTTTTCAAACTATAAAAAACGTTTTTTTTCTGAAATCTAAATGTTTTTCTAATATCGATAATCATTTGGTTAACAAAAAACTATTACATTAATCGTTACATATATTTTAATTAGATTACTATATCTGTTTCATCTGTTAATGGAGTTTTATTCATATGAATTAATTTTCATTAATATATTAATTTAATATAAATTATTTTCAATTCAAGAATTATTTATAATATGAATTTCATATAATTTACTTTATTTTTAGAAGCAATTCTTGTTATTGAAAAAAACATTGATTACTATTGATTATTAAATTTTCGATAACTTTCTAAAAATATTTAATAAATAATTTAATAAACATTTTCGATAAAACTGTTATTATTATAATATATTATTAATATTATTACGAAATATTTGCCGAAAGAAATGTTTAAACCAATAGAAATATCTTAATATATTTGCTTAAATCAAAAATGAATTATTAGCCCTCATATGTGGTCAAAGTCTATATAATAGTGACCCGGGATATGGTCTCCGATCCGACACACAGTATCTATAATTTGATTTATTTCTGAAATCAATTGGCGACACGATTATGTATTTAACTAATAAAGCATCATGCACTAACCGCACGATGTTTATGCACTAGACTTAAAAATGTCAATTTAATTTTCACATTTAATTTATTATGTTTAAAATAATCTTATATTTTTAAAATTATCACTTCATGTAATATTAGTGCCAATTTTGTTAGACAAAATTTTCCAATCACTTAAAAATATTTGAACATTTTTTATTTAAATTTCTGCTTATGTCAGATGATTTTGATTGGTATTTTTGGAAATATACTGCACTTTATATAAATATACTGTTTGTGAAATTAAAGCCAAATCTAAATTTTAAAATAATATAAATGTTTATTTGTTATCAATAATTCATTTAAATTGAGAATTTTATAGGTTTTATAATGAAAAAAATAATGTTATAATTTCAGCCATCAATCATAACCTTTAGAATCAATCAGCAAATCATTTATAAAACTACTGACTTTTAAATTTTATTAATTTTAGTATAAATACACAATTAGCATTAATTGAAGCATGTAACAAACAAATATTCATAAATTATACTGCTATTGGTACTTTAAGCATAATTCTTAATAGGTTAATTCATAATCCCAATCCCGATAGGTTAAATCTATAACTGTTATAGTATAACATATTATTAAAATATGTCCAAATTTGCACAAGTCAGTTTGCTCATGTAAACCATTTAAAATTATTACTTTACAGTATATTAAATAAAAATTTTATAAGAATCATAAAGTTATAAAAATGTTTTTAAAGTAACGTTTAAATATTAATCTAAAATTAAACCATTCTAATTTTAGTACATTTTAATAAATTAAGCCACAATCAGTAAAGGTTTGTGGCAATGTAAGTTTAAAAAGTACTATGGTGTATTTACCCGCCGTTTGAAATAATTTCTCGTACAAAATTTGTAATTGTAAAAAGCTTATGGCAGACCAGTTACACAATAGTTACAACAAACATGATTAATAGAGTATTAAATTTAATGATTTATTTTTAACTTTTAACTTTTAATATTCTGAACTAACCATGCTAAATCTCTTATAGTAAGCCATCGTGTTATTTTACTTTATTAAATAGTGTAATCAAGTAAAAATATTGTAAATAATTACATAATTAAATAGTTATAAAATATGAGTTAAAATAAATAATTCGCAAATTATATTTCTAAATATAGCCATAATATTATTGTCATAAACGATGCAAACTAACAGTCATTCACTTATTTTCACTTAAAATCTCTGCAACTTTTATAATTCACTTATTAATGCCATTCAATGAGAGATTAGTGAATACAAATCCATTCAACAATCTTATCGAAACGCTTGTCGTAAAGCTTGTTATAACGTTATTATATCAATGTTTTTACAGCTCATGTTATGAAAAATATTCCGCAAAATACTGCATTTGGTTGCAAAACATTTGAGATAATGATTTGAAGAGAGCATATGATTACACGTTTTCCACNCTTATCGAAACGCTTGTCGTAAAGCTTGTTATAACGTTATTATATCAATGTTTTTACAGCTCATGTTATGAAAAATATTCCGCAAAATACTGCATTTGGTTGCAAAACATTTGAGATAATGATTTGAAGAGAGCATATGATTACACGTTTTCCACCAAATCCGTGGCTTATCTAAGAATCTGTTTGTCTGGAGTTCTGTTCTAGTTTTTCAGTGATGGCAAAAGTACACGAATTTGCAACAAAAATACATTAATTCTCACCACAAGTATCACTATTTTCATTCATAATATTCAT